TATTATTATAATATTTTTTTCTACATTCACACATCATTCATACTATTTTCAATATATACATAGCCATTCATTCTTTCGCTTTCGCGGCGCTTTCGAAGCGCTTTCGCGGGGTCGCCAATCGGCTAGGGGAGCGCGAGTGGAGGCGCTGTGAGGGACGGCGATGGTGGGCCTGCGGGCGCCCGTTCCCACGCGGACGAAGGTGCTTTCCCCAGCGCGCAGTTTCCGATTCAGCGGCGTTGCGTAAGAGCCGTTGCCGCCTCCGCACCCTGCCAGAGCCCCAGAAACCCAATACGCGCGTTCGCGCTCACAGACGAAACCATCCAGAAACATAAACTGGCTTTGGTGTCTTGTTTCTGTAAATATTACAAAATATTGGCGATTTTCTGCACATGCAAAGGTATAAAGAAACGCAATGAACAGTAATGCAAAAAATTAGGAAGGAAAGAAACGTAACTAGCTACTGCACCCAAAAATGCCGGAGAACAATAATTCGGTATAATTTAAGATATTAAAACGTCCTTAGACTGACAAGCGAAATGTGTTTTGTTAGTTTTTTGTAAAATATGACGGGAGATCCCCGTTGATAGATAGATTTTTGACTTGAATGTTACTTCATGTGAACTCTCGTGTATATTATCGTGTGAACTCTCGTGTGTATTTCAGGTATTTGTTTCATTCGTTCTTCACATTAAAAAACAAGAGTGTTTAAAATTCATTGCATAATCTTCAAAAAATAAACATAATGATTTTTAAAGAATTGACACAGATTACCTATTACTGTTGGTATTCGAACATAGGGATTACACCACGAACATCACACGCTAACCTTCATACAGAATAAATCCAAATAAATATATATTTTTCAATATTGCATTCCATATTCACGTTTATAATTCGTCAAAATTCGTTCACTTATTCACTAAATATTGTTTTTTCGGTGAGAAAAAATAACAACGAACTAAGGATGTTATTGAAAGAAATTAATTTTTAATGTTATGTTTTTACATAATTTGTACGTGGTTTCAAAGCTTTATTATTCCTTTAAGTGGCGAAGAAAAGAAAAAGCAATGATAATCTGGACTTTAAATATTTAGAGGCGATAAATATTGCTTTGCGCTATATGTACTGAGTATTTTTATGTTAACAAGCCTTTTTTCCTTTTATATTGCTAGGTACCGTGAAGAGCATCATTAAGTATGATTCTAAATCCTTGACAACGTCTCCATTGTCATCTCATACTAATGTCCCACACATGGCAAGTAAAACATGTTTAATTACAGCAATTATTTTCATGTGTTTTTAACATCGTGCTTACATCTTATCAACCTGACTTGCGGTATTCTTGATATCTTCGCCGAATGCTTGACATGGCATCAGTGAAGGGAATTTTGCCGTGGTCGGAGTGAAGTTGGGAGATCATTCACAACGTTCTACGTGCCCTGCAGAGGCTGAGTGGCTAACACAGTAACAGGTTCTACAGTACCATATGCGAGATTCTCTAATTTAAACTAGTGCAAATCACGAAAAAAATCCGCAGAATATGAGTTTTTTGAACTCCAATTTTAAGAGCGATAGTATACCTAGGCTTTAAATTCGAATTATGTTTTATTTAATTCTTCTTGTTTTAGACGTATCGTATTTAATTAGTTGATTTATCACGCTCAATCCCTTGCTTGCTGAGACATGTTTAAATAAAAAATCTGAGACTATATTTAATTAGTGAATTATTTGGTATCACGTAAAGATAACATTTATTGTTTAAAACGCATTTGTATGGTATTAATTCTTTACACACAATTGTTACACTGATAAATACATTTTTGGGCAGAATGTAAACTTGAGCAGGAAGATAAATCCAATTGTCCAAATGAGCTGGTTACATGTGGCTGGATTGAGTATATTTATTGACAAGGTTATGACTGAGAATTTGAGAGATGAATCGGTTAGAAACCTTTCTCATGAGATATTGAATGTTTGGTAGGTTGTGCTTTCCAGTTCAGTGGGAACAAGTTGAGAGCTGGTAGAAAGTCTGGCAACATGACTAGTTACAACCCTGTAATGAATTGAGGTGACGTAGTAAACTATTCCTCATGTGATATTGAACTGGAAGGGGTTTGTTCAATTTTTCAAGAAATATTGAATTGTCTGGGCAATTTAAAGGAAGGTTGAACAAATTACAGGAGAATTTAGAACCTCTGAATATTGGGGTCTTACCCGCACCAATCCAACCTAATTTGGTATCCTGAAGAACAGGAAATGTCCATTAGTTCTGATTTGTTGACCATGTAGTAAAGTATTAAAGAACATTTCAGTTCCTAATAATAAATCAACAGGTTTTGAAAGTTCAAATGTAGAATCAGCTTAAGCAAAATGTGTGGGTAAATTTCTATGGTCACAATTAAAACTGGTAGTAAGAGCCTTAGAAATTTCGAACCCAACTGCACAAGAAATTGTGGTTGACCACCAAGGGAAGGCATTGCGTAGTTTTATAGTTACAAGAGCAGTGTATGAAATGGTCATGAGTTCAGAAACAACACATGAGATTGTGATAAGAGATTCGTCACTGGGCAGTTTAAGTGCATTTACAGCGATACAAAGTAATTAGATTTACGCCACTTCCAGTATCGAGAAGTGAAACAAAGGCTCTATTCCTGCCATTGGCAGATACGCAGGTCTCATTGGCAGTAGGTTTAAGAATCGAGCTGGTTGTTGTGGCAACACTGCTTGCAACACTAACAGTTGGTGGGCTACTCTTAGAGGGCTGATCAGTGTTGTGCATTAGTTTAAGATAGGCTTGGTGCAGATTGCACATTTGCTACAAGAATGGTTAGGTGATTTAAGATTAAAACATTTGAGCATCTGCCATAAATAAATTCGAAACGATTTTTTAGAGTGAGCTCCAAAAAGGAAGGACAATCCTTGATTATATGTTCCGAGTTGCACTTGGGGCAAATAGGAGTTTTGTTCTTGCAATTACTATCGTTTGTCTATCTTTTGCATCAGATTTGGGTTGAGGTTACGTGGGGTCATCAATGATTATTAGTACTTCTTTGACGTAGTTCTAAATATTCAAGAAGTGAATTGAATGTGGGACGGTCCTTATCATCTAAAGAAATCTCCTATTGTTTTAAAATGCCAGAGGGTAACCCCTTAGAAATTAAAGCAATAACTAAGAAACGATACAGGACAGTTTCGGCATTAACACCGTTGAGTGCATTGACTTGTAACCTATAAAATCAATTAACTTTTGTAAAGAATAGACGAACCCACAGTAAGTGCGGGTGCTTGGAGGAAAAAACATAGATGACGAGGAACAATGCTCCTGGGCGAATAGTATATCTATTTCAAGAGATCCGTGGCAACATTCAAATTAGTGTTTATCTTAAGAACCAGTACCTCAAAATTAAAGAAACAACGGAAAACTACCGAGCTGAGCAGCCGGCCGCTAGAACCCACCTTCAGACCGTAGATGAATTCTATCTAGATATCTAGCTACTGTCGAAAACTTCCAGCCAGTTCGCCTCGAGTCCCGGACCGGTGGTAGAGATGCAGCAGTGGCAATAGCTGTTGCCTTATATCGTCTAAGCTGGTGCTTCTACGTTGTTATAAATGCGTAGTAGGAATAATGCAAAAGTACGAATTTACATTTACAAAATAGTGAATAAATCTCGCGAAGTTCTTTCGGGCAAAGATATCGCTCTCAGTACCTCACAGAACCGTCTTACACAAACCCAAGGAGAGATAGGATACGGAGACTTTAAATTAATTTTTAGAATCTTCCCAGAAGTTTGGCAATATTCTTTTTTATAATTGTTACGATTTTAAAACTATTAACAATAGGAATTAGTTCATTGTACTTCTGGTGTTGTTTGAGTACATTTTTATTTTGCCTTTTTTTATCTATGTTACCTTTTGATGCCTAATTTTGGCATTCTGTCTTATTTTCTGCCTCATTTGTGGCTTTTTCTGCCTTTTTCGGTGCTATTTACTTTTTTCCCCTTTGAATTTTGGAAAATTCAGAGGGGTCAAGGAAAATTGGACTTCTGCCATTTGTTAAGGGTTCTTTGCTGAATTCATCAATTGTGAAGAAAATCGAACGTATTAAGCGCTAACGTTGACCACAGACGCACGGAAGGACAGGTGGACAGCCATTTTGTCGTCAACCAATTTTTTATGCCTTTTTCCCAGGATATGTGGAATCTACCTTCATAGCGAATTAAAGGAAATATAGAAACAGATTTATACACTTTTTGATATGAGGGTCCGAGATTTTCAGTAGAAAAATCACCTTTTTTGTTTTTGCAGCACTATAAAATTTTCTCTACGAGCATTCAACGTAAGCGAGAAAGTAAAACGATTTTACCGATGTTATTTTATGGAAAACATCTATGAAAAAACTGAAAATGTATAAAAAACGATTTACTTATTCCTTCATTATATTTAAATTACAAAAAAAAAAAAAATGAAATGAGTATTATGAATAACAAAGAATGTAAATAAAATAGTTCACAATATTGAGAACTTCGGGTGACCCAAATGAATAAAAAATTCACGGCGGACATATACAAGTATGTATAGAACTTGTATACGTCCTTGTATATGTACTTGTATGTATAGAAGCCCACTTGTACGTTGTGAGAAATCGGGCGGCAAGTGTTGTATTCTCTGGTATGTAGTACACGTGCGCCTTTAGAGACGGTCGTGGCGGACGGCGTGTGGTGATGAGGCGCCCTCCTTTCGCAGGGCGAGTAGGGGTGGGAGGCAAGGACCGAGTCGCGCTTCCGTCCCCGGGCAGCGCGGGGCGGCGCGGCCGCGAGAGCGCGCGGTGGTCGGGGCGGGGCGGGCGGCGGCGCGGCGTGCGAGGGGCCTTGGCGCTTACGTAAGCGCTCCGCGCCTGGGCCGTGCCGTCGCCGTGCTGTGGCGGCGGCGGCGGACGCGAAGGGTGGGGGCGGCCTTGTCTCCGGAGGCGCGGCGCGCGATCCGACGGCGCGCTCTAGCCCATGCGCCCGCTGGGTCGCAGACGCCGCGCGCCGCGCCGCCTGACCGAACGCATGGCGCCCACCAGCCGAGCACCGGCCACCGCCGCCGCCGCCGCCGCCGCCCTGCTGCTCACCCTGCTCGCGGGCCTGTACGCTACTTCCGCCGCCGCGGACGAGCGTCGGTAAGTCTCCCTCTCTACACTCCGATTTTTTCCATAGTGCTCGATACTACGTCATTGCTACACCTCCTGCCTTATAAATTGTAGATTTTTAAAAGTTGTAATCACGAGGTCTTTTAACAAGGACGTTCGCGAATTACTTTCAAATATTCATTTTATAAGGCAGGCGGTGTAACAAGGACCTAATGAAATCGGTCACCAAAGAAAAATCAAATTGCGAAGTTACTCTAAGAAGGGATCACTTTGACAGGCCGGGGAACAAATGAACGTCGTATAGGGCGATGGCATTGCAAGAAACAGTGATGAATCCATTTTTAATGAGCTAAATGTAAACAAACGCATTGATGAATTGAGTGTAAGGACATAACCTGCCATTGTGTTCCCAGTAGTAGCTGTCAAAGCGGTCCCTTCTTATAGTAATCTGCAAAGACAGGAAAATATGTATTATGAAGCATCAAAATGTGTACATAAATATGTAATGAAAACAGTGAGAACATGTAATAAATATGTAAAATCGGATATTATACGTAATATTAAAATGCACTTTAAACAAATTTACCTAATATGAAATTACATTTATCAAAAATTTCCGAAACAAATTTTAAAAATACAAACGTTTTAAAAATAATTTGGATAGCCTAAGCCGATGCACACTTTTCACCATACAACTTTTCCGTCGGTAATAAAACCTTCGTCTGTTGCTAACCGGGACGGTAGTTAGGCAACGAGACTAGACGCAATTGTAGCAGTTCTCGAATAAACTAGTGATATCTTCGACCAGCAAACAATTATTGCGGCATGATGAATTCTCATGAAAGTATTACAAGTCGGCGATTGCCGAAGTTTCTAGGATATTAAGGTTGAAGTTCACGAAACCCGGCGTCAATAATACTTTCAGTCTCTGACGCGCGCTTCCCGCCACTGAGATATCTGAAGCAGATTCGCCGGAACACAATAACAACAGTCTGAATGAAGCGCATCTCGATTCTACAGCACACAGCAATAGTGAAGGCAAACATTCTGATTTTGTGAAAATACATTTCATACCAAAAATGTATAATATAGAAAACAATTGACATAATAAATAATATTTTGCGAAAATAGTGAAGTACGTTAAATATCGCACCTCCAATAGAAAAGTGACACATAGCGAATTTCTGATTTCTCAGAAATTGCAGTTTCAGTAAGTTTCGTAGATCGTTTCCAGTCTGCTTAAGGGGAGTCAAAAAATATGTCGGTAATTTCCTTTTCAAACGTTTCCGATGGCATAAATACTGCTACAATTTAAAGAAATATCAGATTGGAATGCTACAATGACTCGACAACAATGACTCGGAAGCTCGTTTTTGTGAATTAAGTCTTATTGTTGAGAAATGGTTTACCTGTATGAATAGATATAATTGTCAAATTTGTGTTGATATTTGCATGAAAATATTTAGTTTTTGCACTAAATATACGATTGGTAATGAGCAGTATTTAAACACTTGTATTTGAAATACATATTTTAAATACATTGACATGTTCATCCACGCCAGTTGAATGACTTTCTTTGCAGGTGTTATACATTCGCCCGCTAGGGGTTTATTTTCTGAAGATTTGTTTGAAAAATCTGTCGTTTTAAAAGGAAATTCCATTTCTTTGCGTTAGACATTTTTGATGTCATTTTATATTTGAAAATACTTATACATATGGTTACAGTACATTACAATAGCTATTGTTCAGAAATTTGTAATACTGTCAATTGCTAATTTATTGTACTTGACAATATATTGTTGCGATAAAAATATATAATACAAAATTATTGTATATTTTCAGTATTTTGACCACAATGTACTTCGTGGAATTAATTCTTAAATGTTGAAAAAACTTTGTTAAAAGTAAAAACTTTGCAAAAGAACGAGCTATTAGCCCGAAGGCAGACGTTCGCGCGCGTTTAGAGGTACGGGACGGAAACGCGCGCGTGGGCACCACCGAGCGCATAGCGCGCGCTTCCTTCAAATCGAGGAACGATTTCTTACTTTTCCCTCGCTGCACTCGGAACAATGGACAGATCCTATCTCCTAAAAAATCTTATCTTTGATATTAACCAGCTTTTCAGCAAAGCATTACGTTTTATGTATATAATAAAAATTTTAGTTTTGCTGGATTGAAATTAGAATGTAGAAAAAGTTTTGAATTTTCTAACTTTCGAAAACTCAGGGTATTCAACGAAAATGAGACCTGCACCATTCGCATAAATGTCCTTCATTCTATCGAACAGTAAAATTTAATAAAAAACGTTGGATCTATTTTTTGTTTTGAAAATATCCCAGGGGCATCATCTAAAGGAAAACAAAGCTAAAATATCAAATGGTTAAACATGCATTCATTTTTATCAAACTGTATTACATAACTGGTATAAAATGCATTTTGTAACTATTTCGAGAAAGTATGCGCTGTTTTAGTTATATATTACGATGAACTACATCCAAAAAAAACTTAGGAAAATCATTCATATAACTTTTCAGATCAACATCATATTTCTTATGTACCTAAATAGCGAAAGATTATTGTAATTAAAAAATGCTTCCTTAAACTCTGTTCCCTAGTGATGAACTATTCTAAACTTTCATTAAAACACTTTTTAAACTTCCCTGGTTAAATGTACTCCCGCGCATTCACTTGTTCTCTCTCGCTTTCGGATGTCTCAATCTTATTTCATTTTTCCTAGTCTCAACGTAATATTCATGAAAAGGAGACGGTTAAAAACTTCCAGGCCACGATATCTGATTTCATACATTTGTAAATCCGAAATGTCCCAGAGATGGATAGTGTGAACCTTGATGTCTTGATGGATAGATTCAAGCGCAGATGGATGTCCATGTGATCGAGTATCTCGAGCAAATCAGAAGCTATCTTTCTGGGTTCACTCGCCAGGAGTAAGGTCACATAGTGCCATTCCAATGTGATTAAGATTTTTGCAGGGTGCATAGAAAGGTCATTTGGTACAAAACTAGTGGTGCTTCATCAGCACATGCTTTCTCGCATTATTCGCATTCTCGAACAAGAACGAGATTTATCCCCTTTTTTGTTACCAGGGTCCGGCAGTAAGGATTTTTCTTTGGGAAATTCGCAGTTTCCCGGCGATCGCTTTTCCCCCCTACGTCACATACAGTTATTACTGTTTTCTGACTGAATAAATCTAAATCTAAATCTGAACGATTACAATAAGATTACATTTCTCTTCTTACAAAGTAATAACGAGAAAGTGAAAATATGGGCTGCTTTTGTGAAAACATCATTTGAGCGTTTCTGAAATTGCGCGATTTTGTGCTCAGTTTTAGAGAAATTTTGACTTTTTGAAAATGTTTGTCTGACATCATTTGAAGCACTTGTACTCACAAACCTAATTGCGATGAAACATGCTCTACGCCTACCGACGGAAGGACCTCAGCAGTTCGAGCGCCCGGAATCCGTAATAAATCAGTAAATCAATCAACGAAGGGTCGCTCAAACAAACGTGCTCTAAACCTATTTTTCTTTATCAAGGACCCACAAAACCCACAATTAGAAGTAACTCACTACATCTGCGAACAAGATTTATCCCCCTTTTCTCTCTTAGGCTCCCAATGCTAGTTTTGTTGTAGATAATACGCCATTTTCTGTTGCAGCATTACAATACTGTCTCTTAACTTCCGAAGTACGTTGAAAGCGAGAATATGAAAAGTTAATGAGAGGATTTTCAGAACAATTTGATGTAGAAAATGTATTAAAAACGAAATCTAAAACTCGATTTAAAAAAATGAAGATGCTTTTTATCAATACAACACAGTCTTCGATACATTATACATCGTATCAATAGACCGAAGCTCATTTCTTTTACGAGTGGTCAGTGATGCCGTGCTGTTATCAGTGATAGTTATATCTCTTACTTACGCTTGTCCTTAAAAAAAATTACTAACCCTACAAAATAATTTTTAAGAAAGTTATTACAAGCCAAATGGTTTATATCAAATAAGCAAGTTCACCGAGAATTACAAATATAACCTATTAAAACATATATAATAACACAGTTCACACAGTTTTATAACGTATTACCTTCTGTTTCTGCTTCAAAACACTTTGATTTAGGTCAACACTATGAAACCCTCCGAATTCGCTCCGGATTTCCCCAAAATATTTTTCATCCTCCAAAATTTTCTTTTTACAAATTTTAAAATCAGCGTTTCAATTGCAAATATTTATAATTAATATTTTCTACTCTTTCTTCATTATCACTTATTAAACTATATATTCGTTAAATTACCATTTTAAAAATGGGTAACCAATTTGCCTTACAGTAAATCGCTGTCACCTTGCCTAAAAGTGATTTTATATATATTTAAAACTCCTGAAAAATTGAATTACTATTGCACAGATCGTAGAAGAAAGTTACAAACAAAACTTTTTGCAGACCAGTGATATTTATAGGAATTTGTAATCACAGAGAACAGACGGAATTGTAAAGACAGGGCACAGTTTTCATATTTCAGTATTCAAATCCAAGGAAAAGTACAGTACTCAAATTTCAGTACTCAAATCCAAGGACAGAAAAACTGGTTTAGTGAGTCCCTGGTACCGAAAAAGTGGATGTTATGGACCATCCAAAGATTTGGTAATTCACTATAATCAAGCAAAAACGTGCACAATTTGAAACTAAAAAAGGAAAGTCGCACATTAGCGAAGATATTGCTAGGAAAGAGATATTTCGCTGTGGCAATCTGACACAAATCCATTTACTTACTCAGTATGCAATGACCTGGCTTTGAGCTCTGATACAGAGGGAGAAAGCGAACGCCGAACCGTCCGTTGGCGACATGAGTCGTGTCATAAAAGAAGTTTACTGGAAGCACAGATACCAAACAGGCGTGGAAATATTTTCTTAAGAGACGCAGGATGATAAGAGCCGCATTTGGCATTTCAGTCACAACGTCTTAAGTTTTTCAGAAGTAAGATAAGCAAATAGTTGATAATATTAACACTTG